ATTCTGTGATAGTGTGTGATTCAGTGATTCTGTGATTGTGTGTGATTCAATGAGTCTATGATTGTGTGTGATTCTGTGATGGTGTGTGACTCAGTGATTCTGACTGTGCCATTCATTATGTGTGATTGGGTGATTGTGTGACTCAGTGTTTCTTTGATGGTGTGTGATTCTATGATTGTGTGTGACTCAGTGATTCTGTGATGGTGTGTGACTCAGTGATTCTGACTGTGCCATTCATTATGTGTGATTGGGTGACTGTGATTGTGTGATAGTGTGTGATTCAGTGATTCTGTGACTGTGTGTGATTCTGTGATGGTGTGTGACTCAGTGATTCTGACTGTGCCATTCATTATGTGTGATTGAGTGATTGTGACTGTGTGATAGTGTGTGATTCAGTGATTCTATGATTGTGTGTGACTGTGTGTGATTCTGTGATGGTGTGTGACTCAGTGATTCTGACTGTGCCATTCATTATGTGTGATTGAGTGATTGTGACTGTGTGATAGTGTGTGACTCAGTGATTCTGTGATGGTGTGTGACTCAGTGATTCTGTGATGGTGTGTGACTCAGTGATTCTGTGATGATGTGTGATTCCCTGATGGTGTGTGACTGTGTGTGATTCTGTGATGGTGTGTGACTCAGTGATTCTGACTGTGCCATTCATTATGTGTGATTGGGTGATTGTGACTGTGTGATAGTGTGTGACTCAGTGATTCTCTGATTGTGTGTGACTCAGTGATTCTGTGATGGTGTGTGACTCAGTGATTCTGACTGTGCCATTCATTATGTGTGATTGGGTGACTGTGACTGTATGATAGTGTGTGATTCAGTGATTCTGTGACTGTGTGTGATTCTGTGATGGTGTGTGACTCAGTGATTCTGACTGTGCCATTCATTATGTGTGATTGGGTGACTGTGACTGTGTGACAAGAAGCCCGTGTCTGGCTCAGGGGTGATGTCCTGAGCACAGAGCTGCCTCTGGAGCTGTCCTTGGGCCGTTACCTACAGCTGATGAGCTCCAAGAAGAGCGAAACCTGCTAAGCAAGGTCCTGTAGTATTGGCCTGAACCTGGGGGCACAGCCAGGGGGCACAGCCAGGGGGCACAGCCAGGGGGGCACAGCCAGGGGGGTGCCAATCTCACCTCCTGTCCTGGTACAGAGCTCTGACAGTGACAGCCCTGGCACAGAGCAGGGGCTCTCCCTGTTCTCTCCCTGCTTTGGGACAGGAAAAAACAAGGGGGGCAAGAAAAATGGGAGTTTATAGAATTATATATATATATATATATATATACATTTATATATATTTATATATATAAATATAAATATAAAAAATTTTATTTTTATATATATTATATATATATAAGTAAAACAATTATATATATATAATTTTATATATTATACATATAATTATATATATAATTATATATATTATATATATAATTTTATTTATATATCTATATATTTTTTATACAGTTATTTTAGATGGTGGCTGAGTGTAGAATTTCCCACAGCAATTGGTGTGGGATTTATGAATTGGCTTTGCTGTTAACTCTGTCAGAGGGTGCTCCTGAGGCCATGCAAGTGTTGTACCTGTGGGAAGGGGGAGAAGGTGAAAGGATGAAGGGAAATGATGAAATTTGGGAAGTTCACATCAGATACACTCAGCTGCAGTTTTCTAAGGTACTGCATCATTTTCTGCTCTTAGTTGAATGTATCTTTTCAATAAGGATTTCCAAAGAACTGGATTTCTTGTCCCTGCCATGGCAGGGGTGGCACTGGGGGGGCTCTGAGGTCCCTCCACCCCAGCCCATCCTGGGATTCTGTACTGGACTGGTTTCCCCTCCCCATGCCAATGGGAGCAGCCACCTCAGCAATTCCTGGCTGCCACATCATTCCAGCCCATGTTGTGTTTCCTGGCACTTTGCTCACGGATTTTGCTGCAATTTTTTAAAGAGCAAGAAACCAGCAAACAAACAAAGAAACAAAACCCACGCAAAAACTCCCAACCAAACCCCAAATCCAGCCTCCCCACCCCCTTCAAAGAGCCCAACCTAACAAACCAAACCAGCTCAGGCCAAGCTGCTGTTTCCCTTCCCTGTTTTGGGAGCTGAGCACTGTCATTTGCATCCCAAACATAGTTGCAGTTCTTGTGGGTTTGGTTCATTCCTGTTTTGAGCTTGAGAAAGGCTCCCCATCTTCCTTCCTCCCAGCCTCATCGCCGAGGGATCCTCCTGTGTCTGATGGTTCAGGGATTACAAACAGGTTTGTCCATTGTCCTCACAGAACCTCACTGCCAGCACTGGCAGTAACGTGGGAGTGGGGCTCTGCTCCCAGGGACAGGGACAGGACAAGGGCAAATGGCCTCAGGGTGGACATTGGGAACAATTCCCACCTGGAAAGGGCTGTCCTGCCCTGGCAGAGCTGACTCCCCATCCCTGGAGGGTTTAAAACCCCTGTGGCTGTGGGTTAGGGTTCCAACCTGAACAATTCTGTGTTTCCATTGCTGGGTTCTCTCCCCACTCTGCTCAGAAGGTGTGCCCTGCCCACACAGAGCCTCCCTGAGGCTGTTCCCCCTCTCAGAAGGAGCAGGGTCAGGCCCTGAGTGCAAACAGCCTTGGGTGGGTGTGGTGAGCAGCTCCAGGGCTGAGCTGTTCCCCCAGGGAAAAGGACAAACCTTCTGCTCCTTGTGAGGCAGGCAGGAGCCTGGAGGAGGAGCTGGGCAGGGAATGGAGCCCCAGGAGGGGCTGAGGGAGCTGGGCAGGGAATGGAGCCCCAGGAGGGGCTGAGGGAGCTGGGCAGGGAATGGAGCCCCAGGAGGGGCTGAGGGAGCTGGGCAGGGAATGGAGCCCCAGGAGGGGCTGAGGGAGCTGGGCAGGGAATGGAGCCCCAGGAGGGGCTGAGGGAGCTGGGCAGGGAATGGAGCCCCAGGAGGGGCTGAGGGAGCTGGGCAGGGGCTCAGCCTGGAGCAAAGGAGGCTCAGGGGGCCCTTGTGGCTCTGCACAAGTCCCTGCCAGGAGGGCACAGCCAGGGGGGGTCGGGCTCTGCTCCCAGGGAACAGGGACAGGACAAGGGGAAATGGCCTCAGGCTGGGCCAGGGCAGGCTCAGGGTGGACACCAGGAGGAATTTCTGCATGGAAAGGGGGCTCAGGCCTTGGCAGGGGCTGCCCAGGGGGGTTTGGGGTGCCCATCCCTGCAGGTGTCACCTGGATGTGGCACTGAGTGCCCTGGGCTGGGGACAAGGTGGGCACTGGGCACAGCTGGGACTGGATGGGCTGAAGGGATTTTCCTGCTGAAGGGTTCTGGGGTCATGGAGAGAGCAGTTCCCTCATTCAGGTCCCATTTCAGGGCTCTCAGTCCCTCCCTTTCCTTGCAGAGGGCACAGAGGTGACACTCAGCTCCCCTGGAGTGGAACTGTGTCTGTCTCTGTCACTCTGTCCCCTTCATGCAGGAACTGTGTGTGGCACTGTTGGGTGCCGTGTCCTGGCACTGGCAGTGACCTCTGGAGCTCCCATGCTGGCATGGGCAGGTGCCCTCTGTGCCAGGCTGAGCAGGCCTGGGAGCCCCTGGCACAGTGAAAAGTGTCCCTGCCATGGCAGGGGTGGCACTGGGTGGGCTCTGAGGTCCTTTCCCACCCAGCCCATTCCAGGATTCCAGGAATGAGGAATCTCTGGGCAAAGAGGTGGAAATCATGGCACTGGCAGCTGCTTGGTGGAGAAGGAGATGGAATTGGGAACTCGTGTGCCCAAATCCCCCAACTTCTACAAGTCATAAAAAAATCCACTGAGGCTTTTTCCTGTTAAAAAACAAAATCCAATAAAGGCACAGCAGCACACTGGTTGTGTCTGTGGGTTTTAAACCACGGAAATACAGTGTATTTTCACATCAGAGCCCATGAACTTGTTTTCCTTCCTGGGAAGGAGAAAGGCTGGGAGGGTTCTGAGCTGTGGGGTTCCAGCAGGACCTGGGGATGTGCCCAGCTGTGCCCAGGGGCTGCTCTCAGGGCGCTGTGCCAGTGCCAGGGCAGGACTGGGTGCTGCTCCTGGTGCCACCTGAGGCTGCTGCAGCCTGGCTGAGCCAGCTGCCCCCTGTAGTCTGCATGGAACTGTAGGGGAGTTGTTTGGGATTTTTGTCTGGATTTTTTAGGGTTAGACACATAAAACATATATTTAATGGTTTTTAGGTTGGTGTATTTGGTGACCAAAAATAATGTAATAATCAGTTGAATTATAAATTAAATCTTCCACTGATGCAGAATTAACTTTTCTTTTTTTTTGCTTCAGTGGACTGAAATTTGGCATCTTTTAGGACTGTGTAGTGAAATAAGCCCTGAGAGCTGCTGCACTGTCCCTGTGCCCCCTTACCTTGGGGTACAAGCTGCTCCCTGCTCCTGTCCCTCTGTCACTCTGTTTTCCTAGGAAAGAGCCTCTGTCAAACTGTTTTTATTTGCAACTTAATTCATTTGAAGTTCTCTACTTCCCCGATAAATCCCAAGTGACCTCAGCTGTCAGGGCTCAGAGTTAAATGAATTTTAACATTTTTTTGTTTAAAGGCAGCATTCCCCCAAAGCAAACATCCCCCCTTTTCCAAGCTGAAGGATTCTGTGATCCTGCAGGGAAGAGGGGTCACTCACCTCTGTCAGCCAGGGAAGGGAATGGGCTGAGCTTCTTCCTGCTGACCCCCAAAGTCTCCAACTGCTGCATTTCCCCTTTTTTGGCTCAGAGCACAGAGGAATTCTTGATGGGATATTTCTGCATGTATCAATGCAGCTCTGGGATTTTCAAACTGAAGCAACTCAAGTGCTGAATTCATGTTTCCTGTGCTGTGCCCTGCCTTGGAAGGTGTTAACAAGCCTGGGGGGTGTGTGTGGACTGGGATGAGGATGAGAGGTGTCTGTCTGTCCTGGAATCCCCAGTCCCAAGCAGAATCAGACTGAGGGACAGAATCCTGCTGCTCTTGTAAGAGAATTCTAACACAAACAGTGTTTGCCATTTCTGTCTCCAGAATGATTGAGGAGAGTGGGAAGAGAAGGAGGACCATGGCAGAGAAGAGGCAGCTGTTCATGGAAATGAGTAAGTAGGAAATCTGCAGACATGATGCCCTTGATTCTTCACTGGGAGCTTCCCTGGGCAGCTGCAGCACATCAGCCCCATCCTGTCCCAAGCCCCATGCAGGGAAACCCATCCAGCTGCTCCTGGGGTGCTCAGGAGGAGAATGCCCAAGGGAAGGTCATTTATCCCTGGCTTCTGGGGAGCTCCTTCCTCATGGAATGTTCACCTCTCTCCTCTGTGCCAGTGCCTGAGGTTTGTGGAGAACTATTGCAATGAATAGTGACAGCAGACAGAGCAGCTTTGGCCTTAAAAAGAGATTAAAAAATGGCTCCTCAATGCTGGTGTGACTCAGGCCATGGTTTGGGGGCTGATTGGTGCAGGTTTGTCCTCTGGAAAAGAAGTTAATAGCTGGTGTTGGCATGGCATCACATTATCCTGCTGTCCTGCAGGAGTCAGGGCTGAAGGGAATTCCTGGGCTGGGCCAGCATGTCCTTAATTCCAGGTACACACTGAGGGAGCTCTGACTTCAAACTACCTGTTTGTACTGGTTTGTTTCCAGAGTAGCATTGTTAGGGAATCATGGAGTGCTGGGAGGGAAAGGGCCTTAAATCCCACCCATCCCAGCCCTGCCGTGGCAGGGACAGCTCCCAGTGTGCCAGGGTGTGCCAGTGTCCAGCCTGGCCTTGGGCACTGCCAGGGATCCAGGCTGGGCACCCTGTGCCAGGGCACAACAATTCCCCATTCCCAAGATCCCATCCAGCCCTGCCCTCTGGCACTGGGAGCCATTCCCTGGCTCCTGTCCCTGCAGGCCTTGTCCCCAGCCCCTCTCCATCCTTCCTGCCAGCTCCTCCAGGTGCTGCAAGGCTGCACTTGGGTCACCCCAGAGCTTTCCCTTCTCCAGGCTGAGCAATCCCAATTCTCCCAGCCTTTCCTACAGCAGAGCTGCTCCATCCCCTGATCACCTTGGGGCCTCCTCTGGGCTCTCTCCAGCAGCCCCAGGTCCCTGTGCTGCTGCCCAGGGCTGGGGCAGCTCTGCAGGTGGGCTCTCACCTGGGCACAGGGGCAGAACCCCCCTGTGTGCCACCTGGGGGGGTGGAGGAGACTCTGGAGCCTTTTGCAGGTGCAGAGGGAAACAGCAGCAGGTTCAGAGGGAGCTCAGAGGGAAGCACAGCCCCACAGCAGCACAGGGAGCTCAGAGGGAAGCACAGCCCCACAGCAGCACAGGGTGGGCAGAGGAAGCACAGCCCCACAGCAGCACAGGGAGCTCAGAGGGAAGCACAGCCCCACAGCAGCACAGGGAGCTCAGAGGGAAGCACAGCCCCACAGCAGCACAGGGTGTTCAGAAGGAAGCACAGCCCCACAGCAGCAGGTTCAGAGGGAAGCACAGCCCCACAGCAGCAGGCTCAGAAGGAAGCACAGCCCCACAGCAGCAGGCTCAGAGGGTGTTCAGAGGGAAGCACAGCCCCACAGCAGCAGGCTCAGGGAGTGATCAGAAGGAAGCACAGCCTCACAGCAGCAGGCTCAGATGGAAGCACAGCCCCACAGCAGCAGGTTCAGGGAGTGATCAGAAGGAAGCACAGCCCCACAGCAGCAGGCTCAGAGGGTGTTCAGAAGGAAGCACAGCCCCACAGCAGCACAGGGTGTTCAGAGGGAAGCACAGCCCCACAGCAGCAGGTTCAGAGGGAAGCACAGCCCCACAGCAGCACAGGGTGTTCAGAAGGAAGCACAGCCCCACAGCAGCACAGGGTGGGCAGAGGAAGCACAGCCCCACAGCAGCACAGGGAGCTCAGAGGGAAGCACAGCCCCACAGCAGCAGGTTCAGAGGGTGTTCAGAAGGAAGCACAGCCCCACAGCAGCAGGCTCAGAGGATGTTCAGAGGGAAGCACAGCCCCACAGCGGCAGGCTCAGGGAGTGATCAGAGGGAAGCACAGCCCCACAGCAGCAGGCTCAGATGGAAGCACAGCCCCACAGCAGCACAGGGAGTTCAGATGGAAGCACAGCCCCACAGCAGCACAGGGAGCTCAGAGGGAAGCACAGCCCCACAGCAGCACAGGGAGCTCAGATGGAAGCACAGTCCCACAGCAGCAGGTTCAGAGGGTGTTCAGAGGGAAGCACAGCCTCACAGCAGCAGGATCAGAGGGTGTTCAGAGGGAAGCACAGCCCCACAGCAGCAGGCTCAGATGGAAGCACAGCCCCACAGCAGCAGGCTCAGGGAGTGATCAGAAGGAAGCACAGCCCCACAGCAGCAGGTTCAGAGGGGAAGCACAGCCCCACAGCAGCAGGTTCAGGGAGTGCTCAGAGGGAAGCACAGCCTCACAGCTCTGCTTTGTTGCAGGAGCCCAGAACTTCGACGTGATCCGGCTCTCCACGTACAGAACCGCCTGCAAGCTGCGCTTCGTGCAGAAGAGGTGCAACCGTGAGTGCTGCCTGCCTCATCCTGCCCCCTGCTGCATGGCTGCTGCATTACTGCACCCCTGAGGGCAGGGGAGCACTGAGCAGCTGTGTTTAACAGGGATCTAATACAGAATTGAGTGTGGAATTAAACAGGCAGCGAGCCTTGCCCGATGCTCTGGGATATCTTCATGTTTATTCTTCAATGTTCAGAAACGTCAAGTCCAAGGGAGCTGTGGTGTTCATTGCCCTCAGAGCTGGGTGTAGGTGGTCTCAAGCTCTGTGAGGGGCTGTTTCCTCATGGGGAACCCCAGAGCAGCCCCAGTGAGCACAGGGACAGTCCCTGCCTGCAGCTGTCCCTGTGGGGACACGTGTGACATCAGTGACCATGGATAGCTCTGGGCACTGCAGGTTCTCCCCTTCTCTGCTGTGAGCTCTGACCTTGGACAGCTCCCAGGTGGATCCCAGGTGAGCAGGATGCACTTTGTGCCCTGCCCCTGCTGAGCTGGACACAGCAAAGAGCAGAGCAGGATAACGTGTGGGAGGAGATCCCTAATCCCAGGGCACAGGAACTGCTGGGGACTGAGGAGGAGGAGGAGGCAGCAGGAAGGCTGAGGAGGAAGAGGCCAGTAGGAGGACTGAAGAAGAGGAGGAAGCTAGGAGAAGGGCTGAGGAGGAGGAGGAGAAGGCCAGGAGAAGGGATGAGGAGGAAGAGGAGGAGGCCAGTAGGAGGAGGAGGAGGAAGAGGAGGAGGATACCAGCAGGAGGACTGAGGAGGATGAGGAGGAGGCCAGAAGGAGCGCTGAGGAGGAAGAGGAGGAGGAGGAGGCGGCCAGCAGGACCCGTGTCCCTGCCGTGTCCCTGCCGTGTCCCTGCCGTGTCCCTGAGCTATGGTGTGTCCCTGCCGTGTCCCTGCCGTGTCCCTGAGCTATGGTGTGTCCCTGCCGTGTCCCTGCCGTGTCCCTGCCGTGTCCCTGTGCTGTCCCTGTGCTGGTGGTGGCTCAGCCCTGCACACAGGCTTAGTTCTGGCTCTAGTTACAGCTTTAGGGTTCACACTCTGTTTTCCAACAAGGGAATGGCAGCCAACAGCTCTGCCCAGGGCACTGGTGCCCCCCAGGAGCCCCTTGGCACCCCTGGGCTGGGCATGGGGCCCTGCAGCTCTCTCTGATCACAGGGGTGGCATAGCCTGGTCCTTGGGAAGGGGGTTTGCTGTGAGAAATACAAAGTTAGGTCAGTGTGAGGAGGGCAGAAGCTCCCACTGACTGCAGATCATTGTGAAATGTCACTGTGTCCCTGCTCTGGGTGCCTGCTGATCCTTGCATGTCTCCTCTACTCTCCTGCAAACCTCAAAAGCCTGGGAACATTTCAGAACATTGCTGCATGTGGTTCTGCAGATCGCTCACTGTGGTTTGGAAGAGGTTTCTGCACGTTGTTAACACCCCTTGGATGCAGCAGGGAAATTTGGGGCAGAGCTTAGGAGCCCCAGACCTGTGGTTATAAAACATTATGCTCTGGGTTTGGGAACTGGATCAACTGGAAACTGTCAGAGTTTAACTGGAACATCAAGTTCCTCCTACAAGTCAGCATGAGGGGGTTCAAAATCACTGCAAACACTTTGTAGTGGATTTAGAGCTTTATCAGATCCCTGAGCGGTTTGGGTTTGGGGAGGGACCTTAAATCCCACCCAGTGCCAGCCCTGCCATGGCAGGGACAGCTCCCAGTGTGCCAGGGTGTGCCAGTGTCCAGCCTGGCCTTGGGCACTGCCAGGGATCCAGGCTGGGCACCCTGGGCCAGGGCCTGCCCACCCTGCCAGGGAGGAGCTGGGGCTGGTGGTGAAGCACTGCAGGCTCAGGGCTCTGCTGTTTCTGACACACCCAGATATTCCCAGATGTATTTTCTGAAAAATCCCCTTGTCAGGATTCTTCTCCTGAGAAGCCTCAGAAAAGAAATGCAAACAATAATTATCTGAGTGCCTGGAATGTGGTCTGGAGGTTGCTCACCAACAGGTGCAGCTTTGATTGGTTCCATGGGAATTGTTTTAATTAATGACCAATCCCAGTCCAGCCATGTTGGGACTCTGGTCAGTCAGGAGTTTTTATTATTCATTCCTTTCCAGCTTTTTGATGTAGCCTTTCTCTCTCTTTAGTATAGTTTTAGTATATAATTTTATGATAGGATAGGATATAATAGGATATAATATAATATGATATAATATGATATGATATGATATAATGTAATAGGATATAATAGGATATAATAGCATATAATATAATATGATATAATGTAATATAATGTAATAGGATATAATATAATAGGATATATAATATGATATGACATAATATAACATGATACGACATAATATAATATAATATAACATAACATAATATAACAATATAACATAATATAATATAATATAATATAATATAATATAATATAATATGACATAATATAATATGACATAATATAACATGACATAATATAATATGAGATAATATAATATAACATTATAATATGATCTAATATGATATCAGCCTTCTAAGAGCTTGGAGTCCATTTCCATCTCTCACCTCGTCCCCCACAGCACGCAGGTGTTGAAGGGAGCAGTAGAAGCCACCCCTGGGCCCTGCTGTGTCCCTTGCTGAGCCCAGAGTCTCCCACTTTGTGCAGTTCCTGCCACAGCAGGGCCAGCACTGCTCCAGGCAGTGCCCTCAGTGGCCCTGCAGGGCAGAAAGGAATTGTTGAGATGCCTGAGCACCTCCAGAGGGGGCAGCGAGGCCGGTGAGGGGCTGGGAGCACAAACCCAGAGCACTGAGGAACGTTTGAAGGGGCTGGGGATGCTCAGCCTGCAGAAAAGGAGACTCAGAGGTGCCCTCATGGCTCTCCACAGCTCCCTGAAGGGAGGCTGCAGCCAGGTGGGGTTGGTCTCTGACAGAACCAGAGGACACAGCCTCAAGGGAAGAAAGGGATAGTGCTGGGAGGGATAGCAGCAGGGAAGGGATAGTGCTGGGAGGGATGAAAGTTTGACAAGAAAGTCTCACAGATATGGGTGCTTGGCAGAAAGATTTGTGAATGTAGAGTCTGAAGAAGGAATAGAGATGGAAGCAAGTTTTGATATAGAAGAAAAGAATTGCTGAGCCAGTCTGACTGGATAACCAAGGAGCAAAGGGTGTGTGAGTTAGAAGGGGTTTTTATGGCTTAGAGCAAAGGATAAACCCACCCCAAACAAGGAGATGCTTTTACCAAGCAGAAAGAGAGCACAGGCAAACAAGGCAGCAGAGGTTGCAAGTAGAAAAAAGAATTTTCCACTGCAAGAAAACTGAGAAACAACTTCTAGCTTAAACTGCAATGTACTGACTTTGAGTGATTGGAGAATAGTGACATGAATATGGTAATTATGGTAGTTATGATAGGCTATAGGTAATAGTTAAGGTGTAGATTGGTTCTACTGTGTGAAGATGCTCAGGAAAGTAAAGTATAGAATGCAATGTAACCAAAAGAAAAGTCTAGAATGCATTGTAACCAAAAGTCTAGAATGCAATGTAACCAAAAGAAAAGTCTAGAATGCATTGTAACCAAAAGAAAAGTATAGAATGCATTGTAACCAAAAGTCTAGAATGCAATGTAACCAAAAGAAAAGTATAGAATGCAATGTCACCAAAAGAAAAGTCTAGAATGCATTGTAACCAAAAGAAAAGTGTAGAATGCACTGTAACCAAAACCAAAGGGTCTCCAGGCCTGCCTGCAGCTGGAGCTGACAGCTGTGGGCACAGCTCTGTCACCCACAGCCCTGGACTGCTGTGACATCCTGGATGGAATAAATTTCATTTTGAAGAGCTGCCTGCAGTCCCACATCTCTCATTTTGGCTCTTACAGTACAGGTTGGATATTAGGAAGACATTTTTCACCACAAGAACAATAAAGCCCTGGAATGCTCTGCCCATGAGGTGGTGGAATCCCCATCTCTGGGTGTGTTTAAAAAGGACTGGACATGGCACTGGGTGCTGTAGCTGAGGTGTTAGGGCATGGCTTGGACTGGATGACCTTAGAGGTCTCTTCCAACCTCATTATTCCGTGATTCTGTTTCCCCTTTGTTTCCCAGTTCACCTTGTTGACATCTGGAACATGATTGAAGCCTTCAGAGATAACGGCCTTAACACCCTGGAGCACAGCACGGAGCTCAACGTGTCCCGCCTGGAGACCATCATCTCCTCCATCTACTACCAGCTGAACAAACGGCTGCCCTCCAGCCACCAGATCAGTGTGGAGCAGAGCATCAGCCTGCTGCTCAACTTCATCCTGGCAGCCTATGACAGGTCAGTGCTGCTCCTGTGTGCCAGCCTGGGCAGTGCCAGTGTGCCCAGGGCATCAGCCTGCTGCTCAACTTCATCCTGGCAGCCTATGACAGGTCAGTGTGCCAGCCTGGGCAGTGCCAGTGTGCCCCCTGTGTGCCCAGGGCATCAGCCTGCTGCTCAACTTCATCCTGGCAGCCTAGGACAGGTCAGTGTGCCAGCCTGGGCAGTGCCAGTGTGCCCAGGAGTGTGCCCAGGGCATCAGCCTGCTGCTCAACTTCATCCTGGCAGCCTAGGACAGGTCAGTGTGCCCCTGGGTGCCAGCCTGGGCAGTGCCAGTGTGCCCAGGGCATCAGCCTGCTGCTCAACTTCATCCTGGCAGCCTATGACAGGTCAGTGTGCCCCTGGTGCCAGCCTGGGCAGTGCCAGTGTGCCCCTGTGTGCCCAGGGCATCAGCCTGCTGCTCAACTTCATCCTGGCAGCCTAGGACAGGTCAGTGCTGCTCCTGTGTGCCAGCCCTGCCTGTCTGAGCAGTGCCAGGGCTGCCTGAGCAGCAGGAGTGTGCCAGGGCTGCCCTCTGTGCTGAGCTGGGCTCAGGCTCTGCTGGGAGCTCTGGGCTGGGCTGGGCTGGGCTCAGGCTCTGCTGGGAGCTCTGGGCTGAGCTGGGCTCAGGCTCTGCTGGGAGCTCTGGGCTGGGCTGGGCTGGGCTCAGGCTCTGCTGGGAGCTCTGGGCTGGGCTGGGCTCAGGCTCTGCTGGGAGCTCTGGGCTGAGCTGGGCTCAGGCTCTGCTGGGAGCTCTGGGCTGGGCTGGGCTGGGCTGGGCTCTGCTGGGAGCTCTGGGCTGGGCTGGGCTCAGGCTCTGCTGGGAGCTCTGGGCTGGGCTGGGCTCAGGCTCTGCTGGGAGCTCTGGGCTGAGCTGGGCTCAGGCTGTGCTGGTGCCTCCAGGGGGCTCAGCAAGTGCATGTGTTTTGTTGAATCTTGCTCACAAAGACCCTTTTGAAGCTCAGTTTGTCAGTTTGCATAAAGCTGATTCTCCTTTCTGGCTCAGGGTTCTGTCCAGGCATCTCCTCGTGCCCAGTTCTGTGTTTCTCTCCCAGCCTCTCCCTGCAGGGTTTGCTCTGCTCATCCTGAGCAGCAGCTGCAGCTCCTTTGCTGTGCTTGGCATTCCTTACTTTTGGTCTTGCCTTTCTCCAAATCAGCTTTTTATTTTATTTATTTCAGTGGGATTTGGCTTCTGCTGCTGCCCCACACAGGGGATTTAGCCAGGGCAGTGCCCAGCACTGAGGGTGCCAAACACTTGTTCTGTTTGTGATGTCCAGACTTTGATCCTCTCCTGATGGGACAATTTCTTATTGCCACCAAAGAGAAGCTGGGTGTGTCCCTCAGAGAGTCCAGGCTTGAGCATTTTATTTTATTTTATTTTATTTTATTTTATTTTATTTTATTTTATTTTATTTTATTTTATTTTTATTTTATTTTGTTTTTATTTTATTTTAATTTTTATTCTGTTTATTTTATTTCATTTTATTTTATTTTATTTTATTTTATTTTTATTTATTTTATTTTATTTTTAATTTTATTTTATTTTATTTTATTTTATTTTATTTTATTTTATTTTATTTATTATTCTATTCTATTCTATTCCCTCACTGGGCAGGGAATAAAATAAACCAAAACCAGCACAAAGCTCAGAGCAGCTCCTGTGCCAGCAGAGTTTCTGTCCAGGCCTGCTTTGAAGTTAGTTAGGGCAAGTTGTAGGGCTTGGCTGAGGGTTTGGTTACTGTCAGACAGCTCACCCTGAAAAATACAGGATTTCAACCCAGGAACAGCCACGTTTGGAGGAGCTGCCTCAGAAGATGGAGGCTTTGGTTAGAGGTGGGCTTTGTTCCCCTCTTTCCCCCAGCCCTGAGAGCTCTGCCTTGTCTGGACCCCCAGCAACAGCTGGATCCCAGTGTGGGACAGCAGCAACAGCTGGATCCCAGTGTGGGACAACAGCTGGATCCCAGTGTGGGACATCAGCAACAGCTGGATCCCAGTGTGGGGCAGCAGCAACAGCTGGATCCCAGTGTGGGACAGGGACAGCTGGATCCCAGTGTGGGACAGGGACAGCAGCTGGATCCCAGTGTGGGACAGCAGCAACAGCTGGATCCCAGTGTGGGACAGGGACAGCTGGATCCCAGTGTGGGACAGGGACAACAGCTGGATCCCAGTGTGGGACATCAGCAACAGCTGGATCCCAGTGTGGGGCAGCAGCAACAGCTGGATCCCAGTGTGGGACAGGGACAGCTGGATCCCAGTGTGGGACAGGGACAGCTGGATCCCAGTGTGGGACAGCAGCAGCAACAGCTGGATCCCAGTGTGGGACAGCAGCAGCAACAGCTGGATCCCAGTGTGGGACAGGGACAGCAGCTGGGTGCCAGCCCATGGCAGGAGCTGCTCTGTGCCTCGCTGTGCCTGGGCTGGGGCAGAGCAGGGATGGGGCAGAGCAGGGATGGAGCAGAGCAGGGATGGAGCAGAGCAGGGATGGAACAGAGCAGGGATGGGGCAGAGCAGGGATGGGGCAGAGCAGGAATGGAGCAGAGCAGGGATGGGGCAGAGCAGGGATGGGGCAGAGCAGGAATGGAGCAGAGCAGGGATGGGGCAGAGCAGGGATGGGGCAGAACAGGAATGGAGCAGAGCAGGGATGGGGCAGAGCAGAGCTCAGGCAGAGCAGGGATGGGGCAGAGCAGGGATGGAGCAGAGCAGGGATGGAGCAGAGCAGGGATGGGGCAGAGCAGCGCTCAGGCAGAGCAGGGATGGGGCAGAGCAGGGATGGAGCAGAGCAGGGATGGAGCAGAGCAGGGATGGGGCAGAGCAGCGCTCAGGCAGAGCAGAGCAGGGATGGAGCAGAGCAGGAATGGAGCAGAGCAGGGATGGGGCAGAGCAGGGATGGGGCAGAGCAGGGATGGGGCAGAGCAGGGATGGGGCAGAGCAGGGATGGTGCAGGGCAGAGCAGAGCTCAGGCAGAGCAGAGCAGGGATGGAGCAGCGCTCAGGCAGAGCAGGAATGGGGCAGAGCAGGGATGGAGCACAGCAGCGCTCAGGCAGAGCAGGGATGGAGCAGAGCAGCGATGAAGCAGAGCACAGCAGCGCTCAGGCAGAGCAGAGCAGCGCTCAGGCAGAGCACAGCAGCGCTCAGGCTCCCTCTCCAGGCGCTCAGCAGCACGGCAGGCCGGCCTTTATAAAAATGCCCATCCCTGCTGCAATGCTCAATCACAGCGTGCTCACAGAGGGTGCTGCTGGCACCATCAGAACCTTTAACATTCCCCTTGGCAGGTCCAGTCCCAGAACCCTGGAGTGGTTTGGGCGGGAAGGGAGTTCAGAGCCCTCCAGTGCCAGCCCTGCCATGGCAGGGACACCTCCCACTGCCCCAGGGTGTCCCAGTGTCCAGCCTGGCCTTGGGCACTGCCAGGGATGCAGGGACAGCCAAGGCTTCCCTGGGGTGCCACTGGATGAGCTCTGAGGTCCCCTCCAACCCAACCATTCTGGGTCCTGCTCCTCCAGGCCCTTGCCCAAAGCCCCTCTCAGCTCTCTCAGGGACTCCCTTCAGGGCATTTCTGCTTTTCCAGCTCTCCCCACACTCATCCTGTGCTTTCCCCATCTCTGTATTTTCCATGCCAGTCCAAATCCCCTCTCCAGCACGTTTAGTTACAGTTATTTGAAATGCTGGGAGTTGCTGGAGGTGGTGGCTGTTGTTGTTCCCATGATTTCTGGCACTCTGAGGTGGTGTTTGTTGTTCCCATGATTTCTGGGGCACTGTGATTGTGTTCCCATGATTTCTGGGGCTCTGGGGAGGTGATTGTTGTTGTTATTCCCGTGATTTCTGGGGCTCTGGGGTGGTGGCTGTTGTTGTTGTTCCCATGATTTCTGGGGCTCTGAGTATTTGTTGTTATTCCCATGATTTCTGGGGTGGCTGTTGTTGCTATTCCCATGATTTCTGGGGCTATGGGTTGTTATTGTTCCCATGATTTCTGTGATTCTGGGGTGGCTGTTGTTATTCCCATGATTTCTGGGGCTCTGGGGAAGTGGCTCTTGTTATTCCCATCATTTCTGGGGAGGTTGCTGTTGATATTCCCATCATTTCTGGGGCTCTGGGGTGGCTGTTGTTGTTATTCCCATCATTTCTGGGGCTCTGGGGAGGTGGCTGTTTTTATCTCCATGGTTTCTGGGGCTGGGGGGTGGTTGTTGTTATTACCATGATTTCTGTGGTGGTTGTTATTGTTGTTCCCATGGTTTCTGGGGCTCTGGGGTGGCTGTTGTTATTCCCATCATTTCTGGGGCTGGGGGGTGATTGTGTTCCCATTATTTCTGGGGCTCTGGGGTGGATGTTGTTGTTATTCCCATGATTTCTGGGGCTGTGGGTTGTTATTGTTCCCATGATTTCTGTGATTCTGGGGTGGCTGTTGTTATTCCCATGGTTTCTGGAGCTCTGGGGAGGTGGCTGTTGTTATTCCCATGATTTCTGGGGAGGTTGTTGTTGTTGTTCCCATGATTTCTGGGGCTAGGGGTGGTTGTTGTTGTTATTCCCATCATTTCTGGGGCTGGGGGGTGGTTGTTATTGTTATTCCCATGGTTTCTGGAGCTCTGGGGAGGTTGCTGTTGTTATTCCCATCATTTCTGGGGCTGGGGGGTGGTTGTTGTTGTTATTCCCGTGATTTCTGGAGCTCTGGGGAGGTGGCTGTTGTTATTCCCATGATTTCTGTGGTGGTTGTTGTTATTCCCATGATTTCTGGGGCTCTGGGGAGGTGGCTGTTGTTATTCCCATGTTTTCTGTGGTGGTTGTCATTGTTGTTCCCATGGTTTCTGGGGCTCTGGGTGCTGCTGTTCCATCCCTGTGCAGTTCTCACAGGTGCCTTTCCCTGCAGTGAGGGCCATGGGAAGCTGACAGTGTTCTCAGTGAAAGCCATGCTGGCCACCATGTGTGGGGGGAAGATCCTGGACAAGCTCAGATGTGAGTACTCCTGAGGCATCCCACCCTTTATGGACCCTGTGCTTCCCTGGGTTTGTTGTATTCCATCCTGGAGGGTTTTATTTTGCTGATTTTGTGATCTTTACACTGAGCTGGAGCTGTGCAGAATTCCAGAGCCATTAAGGTGGGACAGTCCCTCCCAGCCCATGCAGTCCAAGCTGTGCCCAGTCCCCACATTGTCCCCAGAGCACTGGGTGCCACATCCAGGCCTCCAGGGACACCTCCAGGGATGTTTGTTCCATGTTCCAGCTCCTGGTTATCCCAAGCCCAGGACTGAGGAGCCTTCCCAAGCCCATTCCTTCAACTTAAGCTCTTGAGCACTTCTTTAAATGGAGAACTTGAGGGCTGATTTTCAGTGGGAATGTCCCAATTGTCACCATTTCCCTGCTTTGAGGCTGCTGGAGGCTCCTGTGAATCTCCTGAGGCTCTCTGCACCTCCTCACTCTGTAATCCCAGCTGCTGAGGTAGAATCCCAGGATGGTTTGGCTTGGAAGGGACCTGGGGACACCTCCCAGTGTCCCAGGCTGCTCCCAGCCCTGTCCCTGGGCCCTGCTGTCCCCTGGGCTCAGTCAGATCCCTGGACAGGGCAGGATTCCTCCAGCTGCAGGGGAAAGTGGTGGTGGGAGAGTTCTGGGAAACCCTGAGCAGGATGGGGAAGTGATAAGAGCTGCTCCTTCTCCTTCTCCTTCTCCTTCTCCTTCTCCTTCTCCTTCTCCTTCTCCTTCTCCTTCTCCTTCTCCTTCTCCTTCCCCTTCCAGCTGCTCCTTCCCCATTCCAGCTGCTCCTTCCCCTTCAAGCTTCTTCTTCTTCCAGCTGCTCCTTCCAGCTTCTCCTTCCCCTTCCAGCTTCTCCTTCTCCTTCCCCTTCCAGCTTCTCCTTTTCCTTCCAGCTGCTCCATCCCCATTTCAGCTTCTCCTTTTCCTTCCAGCTTCTCCTTCTCCTTCCCCTTCCAGCTTCTCCTTCCCTTCCAGCTGCTCCTTCCCCTTCCAGCTGCTCCTTCCCCTTCCAGCTGCCCCTTCCCCTCCAGGACAGGAGCCCCAGGTTCCTGCAGTGATCAGTGGCAGATGGAGGAGCAGGGAGCAGCTCTGCTCTCCCCTCCCAGAGATGTGATGGGTGTCCCTGAGCCCCTGGCAGCTGCTGGAGCCCCTTGCAGGGCAGGCAGGTGCAGCAGAGGCTGTTCCTGCCCAGCCATCTGCTCTGGGGAGGAGCAGGGTTCCCTGCTCATCTCCCTGCCCCAGCTGCTCTGGATTCCTTCTGAGCATTGTGACTGTGCTGCTTGGCTTTCCCCCTCTCTTTCCTGTTGGTTTTCTCAGCTTTTACAGAGGCACCTGAGAGCTGCTTTAAAAGATTTTATTCTATTATCAGTGTCAGAGATTTTATTCTATTAAGAATCATCTTATTCTATTAAGAATAAAATCTTAAAAATATTTATTTAAAAATCTTATTCTATTAAGAATAGAATCTTAAAAAGATTTTATTTTTTATTTTAGAAAAAGATTTTTTATTCTATTAAGAATAAAATCTTAAAAAGATTTTATTTTTTATTTTAGAAAAAGATTTTTTATTCTATTAAGAATAGAATCTTAAAAAGATTTTATTTTTTATTTTAGAAAAAGATTTTTTATTCTATTAAGAATAGAATCTTAAAAAGATTTTATTTTTTATTTTAGAAGAAGATTTTTTATTCTATTAAGAATACAATCTTAAAAAGATTTTATTTTTTATTTTAGAAGAAGATTTTTTATTCTATTAAGAATAAAATCTTAAAAAAATTTTATTCTATTATCAGTGAGACACCAGAGATGTAAAACCCAATGTGATTCCATCAGAAGCCAACCTATTTCTTGGTTACAATACCTTAGAAATGTTTTTTAGCCTATTAGCTTTTGCTGCTATCACTTCTACCACCAATCACTTCTATTTCTTCTCCACATTCTCTTGCTGCAATGTATTTTTCATAGTTCTAATTCTATACAATATCTAGTCTTGTTTTGTTCTTTACAAATGCATTTCCCACATCTCTCCCTGATTACTGATCCACATCACCCCAAAATCTCCTTGTCCAGAGGGATCCCAGCCCAGCCTCCCTTCCCTGAGCAGGCTGGAGCTCTCTGCAGATCCTGGGATTGTGTTTTAATGTTTGTTCATCCCATGGTGGGGACAGGGCAGTGTCCTGAGAGTGTCCCCATGGCACAGAGGGACTGGGGCAGCCTCATGGGGCCCTTCCCTGGCTCTGGAATTTGCTGGGATGTGCTCCCTTGTGGGGCTGTGCAAGGCAGGGATCCCTGCTGAATTTGCCAGCAATTCCTACATGGGAAGAGATGAGAATCTTGAGTCCGTGTGTCAGAAGGCTTGATTTATTATTTTATGATATTTATTATATTAAAAGAAAATGATATATTAAAACTATACTAAACGAATAGAAAAAAGGATTTCATCAGAAGGAAGGAAAGGAAAGGAAAGGAAAGGAAAGGAAAGGAAAGGAAAGGAAAGGAAAGGAAAGGAAAGGAAAGGAAAGGAAAGGAAAGGAAAGGAAAGGAAAGGAAAGGAAAGGAAAGGAAAGGAAAGGAAAGGAAAGGGGAAAGGAAAGGGGAAAGGAAAGGGAAAAGGGAAAAGGAAAGAAATCTTGTGACTGACCAGAGTCCAAGCCAGCTGGGCTGTGATTGGCCATAAATTAGAAACAACCACACGAGACCAATCCCAGCTGCACCTGTTGCATCCCACAGCAGCAGATAACCATTGGTTATTTACATTTTGTTCCTGTTGCATTTCACAGCAGAGATAACCATTGGTTATGTACATTTTGTTCCTGTTGCATTTCACAGCAGCAGATAACCATTGGTTATTTATATTTTGTTCTGTTCCATCCCACAGCAGCAGATAACCATTGGTTATGTACATTTTGTTCCTGTTGCATCCCACAGCAGCAGATAACCATTGGTTATGTACATTTTGTTCCTGTTGCATCCCACAGCAGCAGATAACCATTGGTTATGTACATTTTGTTCCTGTTGCATCCCACAGCAGCAGATAACCATTGGTTATTTACAATTTGTTCCTGTTGCATCCCACAGCAGCAGATAACCATTGGTTACATTTTGTTCTGTTCCATCCCACAGCAGCAGATAACCATTGGGTACATTTTGTTCCTGTTCCATCCCACAGCAGCAGATAACCATTGGTTATTTATATTTTGTTCTGTTCCATTCCACAGCAGCAGATAACCATTGGTTATTTATATTTTGTTCTGTTCCATCCCACAGCAGCAGATAACCATTGGTTGCATTTTGTTCCTGAGGCCTCTCTCAGGAGGAAAGATCCTAAGGAAAGGATTTCTCACAAAACGTGTCTGTGTCAGATCCCAGGGTTTGTGGGGCTGGAAAATCCCTCCCAGCCCATCCAGCCCCAGCTGTGCCCAGTGCCCACCTTGTGCCCAGAGCCCTGAGTGCCACATCCAGGGCACCTCCAGGGATGGGCACTGCAAACCTCCAAGGCCTGGCCACCTTTTCCATGGGGAAATTCCTCCTGAGCCTGCCCTGGCCCAGCCTGAGGCTGTTCCCTCTCATCCTGTCACCAGCTGCCCTTTGAAAGGAAATCCTACTTTTTATTTCTTTATTTTTATTTATTACATCCTGCTTTTTGCCGTTCACTGCCAATTCCCCACGTGGGAGTTTTCCATCTTGACCACAAACCCACTTTTTTCACTGCAAGACAAACATTGGTGGGGTTTGGAGGGGTTTTTAATGTCCCCTTGGCACAGCCTGGGCTGTTCTGTCTCATTTTCAGGTTTCCATACCTTGAATTTCTCTCTCTTTAGGATCACCTCACTGCCTGCTCAGCTCAGGTGAATGTCCTGAGCACACCCAGGAGGTTCCAGCCCATTTTAAACACAATTGTGTCCTGTCCCTGTTGTGTCCCACCCTGCCAGGCTCTTTGCAGACCTTCAGCTCCTGTGCAGGAGGATTCTGCTCCAGAGTGGATGAGGATTCTGGAATTTTGGCTCTCTAATTTTAGTTGTTCCCATTGGTTTCATTTTGTGTGCATTTTCATCCTGACTTTTTTTCCACGTTCACTTTCTAGGTTAATTTTTCTGGCTGGCTTGTTTTTCTAAAACACACAAATCCACCATTTTAAATAGTTCTTTTTTTTTTTCCCCTCCATTTCTCCTAATATTTTTTCTTTGATAACATTATTCAAGGGACCCTCAGTTCAAGCTGCTCTCTTCAGTCAGTGATACAAATTCCAGGTATCTTTATCCCTCTTAACTGAGGCATTGCAGGCTTCTTCCTGAGCTCATTCTTTCAGGAAATTGGGATAATTCCTCCAGTTTACTGGAAATGTGCCTTTCTGAAAGTGTCTTTTCTTCTGAAGCTGGTTTTGATCACTGAAATGAAGGTTATTTTCTGCCAGCTTGAGCTTTTTGATGTTTAATTACTGATGGTGCCCGAAATAACAGCAGGGAGGGCTCGGTGCCACGGAGGAGATCTGGGATCTGTCACATCCTGGGGAATTCTAGGCCATGTTTCCATTGGTGAATCCTCCCTCTGGAGCATCCCAGGCTCTGGGGGTGCCTCAGGGCCCAGCTGGCTGTGAGAGATCTCTGCAAGGAGGTTCTGGGTCCCAGGGCAGTTCTGCTCTCTGTCTGACATGGTTGTTCTGTTGTGCTCTCTGCATCCTGCCCCTGGGACCTTTCCTTGGGTCTGGAGCTCTGGGGAGGGGATCAGGGACCCCCAGGGCTCAGCAGAAGCAGAAACAGGGAGTGGGGCACCTGTAGCACCTCCGTCCCCTCCTTCCATCCTTGCGAACATCAGGGAACGTCTGCCCAGCCCCCTTTTGCTCTCAGGAGCTTGTTTGTCCCCACAGAGCTGCTTAAAAAGTGTGAACTCCTCTCAGCACAACTGTTCTCAGAGTCCCAGAATGGTTTGGGCTGGAAGGGACCTTAAATCCCACCCCAATTAAATCCCACCCCAATTAAATCCCACCCCATTAAATCCCACCCCAATTAAATCCCACCCCTATTAAATCCCACCCCATTCCACCCCTGCCATGGCAGGGACACCTCCCACAGTCCCAGGGTGTCCCCAGTGTCCAGCCTGGCCTTGGGCACTGCCAGGGATCCAGGCTGGGCACCCTGTGCCAGGGCCTGCCCACCCTGCCAGGGCACAATTCCCAATTCCCAAAATCTCAGATCCAAACTGGGATGCGATTCCCCCTCCCTGTTCTGGCCTTATTCTCCAGCAGTGCAGGACAGCCTGGGAGCCCGGCCCTCAGGGGCACAGGGTGGGTGCCTGAAAGCTGGGCCAGCTCCCTCAAGCTGGGTGATTATCAGCCCTTTAGTGATATCAGCTCCCTTGGGATCTCAGCTCTTGCTTGCTAAGGCAGGGAGCCCCTGGCTGAGGCTGCAGCAGACGCCAGAGAGGAGAAGGAGAGGTCCTGGTGGTTCCACAGCGCTGGTTTTACTGGGGGAGTCTGTGAAGGGTCCCAGCCCCAGCTCTCCTTCTCTCAAATGGGCTAAAGCAGGCCCCTTTATAGGGTTATGGGGGATCCAGACTTGGCCAACAGTAAGGGTTAAGTGACAAAGCCTATAGGGTTCCAGAGATAAGCTTTGGGGCAGGGGTCAGGGACACAGGAACTTATGTTGCTGTCTCAGCAGTTCCATTGTTCGATCCTCATGGGGTTTACTACAGGTGCCCTCAGCCTGCAGGGGCTCCTGGTGAAGCTGGGCAGGGAATGGAGCCCCAGGAGGGGCTGAGGGAGCTGGGCAGGGAATGGAGCCCCAGGAGGGGCTGAGGGAGCTGGGCAGGGGCTCAGCCTGGAGCAAAGGAGGCTCAGGGGGCCCTTGTGGCTCTGCACAAGTCCCTGCCAGGAGGGCACAGCCAGGGGACAGGGACAGGACAAGGGGAAATGGCCTCAGGCTGGGCCAGGGCAGGCTCAGGGTGGACACCAGGAGGAATTTCCCCATGGAAAGGGGGCTCAGGCCTTGGCAGGGGCTGCCCAGGGGGGTTTGGGGTGCCCATCCCTGCAGGTGTCACCTGGATGTGGCACTGAGTGCCCTGGGCCTTGGGCACAGGTTGGGATTTTCCAGTCCCAGGGGTCCTGGGCTGCGGTGCCCCTGCCATCCCCTGTGCCCTCAGTGTGCATTCCCCTGGATCTCTGCCAGCTCTGGCACTGCCACAGCTGTGTTCCACCCTGGAGGGTTCTGTAGGTTCAGGTTCCAGCTGTGTTCCTCCCTGGAGGGTTCTGTAGGTTCAGGTTCCAGCTGTGTTCCACCCTGGAGGGTTCTGTAGGTTCAGGTTCCAGCTGTGTTCCTCCCTGGAGGGTTCTGTAGGTTCAGGTTCCAGCTGTGTTCCTCCCTGGAGGGTTCTGTAGGTTCAGGTTCCAGCTGTGTTCCCCTGGAGTTCTCCTGCTCTGCTCCCTCTCTGTCCCAGCTGGTGCAGGGCAGGAGCTTCCCCTGCACTGGTGGGATGGCATGGGATCCATGGGATGGGATGGGATCCATGGGATGGGATGGGATGGGATAATGAGTTGGGATAATGGGTTGGGATGGGATGGGATCCATGAGATGAAATAATGGGATGGGATCCATGCTATGGGATAATGGGATGGGATGGGATTGATGGGATGGGATGGGATGCGATCCATGGGATGGGGTGGGATGGGATCCATGGGATGGCATGGCATGGCATGGGATAATGGGATGGGATGGGATAGGATCGGATCCATGGGATGGCATGGGATCTGTGGGATGGGATGGGATCCATGGGATCCATGGGATGAGATGGGATCCATGGGATGGGATGGGATGGGATGGGATGGGATGGGATGGGATGGGATGGGATGGGATGGGATGGGATGGGATGGGATGGGATGGAGGAAGCAGGGCTTGGGAACCCTGACCTGGGTCATTCCTGCCCTGCTCCAAGCCCAGCTCAGGGAAAGCCCTCGGGGTGCACGTGGGAGCCGTTCCCGCAGTGACCCCATATTGATGGGGGTTTATTGTATTTCCTTACAGATATTTTCTCTCAGATCTCAGATTCCAACGGGCTGCTGGTGTTCCCCAAGTTTGAGCAGTTCCTGCGGGAGGTGCTGAAGCTGCCCACGGCCGTGTTCGAGGGGCCCTCCTTCGGCTACACCGAGCACTCGCTGCGCACCTGCTTCCCACAGCAGGTCAGGGACGGCATGTGGGACCGGGGATTTGGGATTTGGGGTTTGGGATTGGGGGTCTGGGATCGGGGATTTGGGGTCTGGGATTGGGAATTTGGGGATTTGGGGATTTGGGGTCTGGGGTTTGGGATTTGGGGTCTGGGATTGGGGATTTGGGGTGTGGGATTGGGGATTTGGGGTTTGGGGTGTGGGATTTGGGGATTTGGGGTTTGGGGTCTGGGGTTTGGGATTTGGGATTTGGGGATTTGGGGTCTGGGATTTGGGGATTTGGGGTTTGGGGTCTGGGGTTTGGGATTTGGGATTGGGGATTTGGGGTCTGGGGTTGGGGATTTGGGATCGGGGATTGGGAATTTGGGGTCTGAGATTGGGGATTTGGGGTTTGGGATTTGGGGTCTGGGATTTGGGGATTTGGGGTTTGGGGTCTGGGGTTTGGGATTTGGGATTTGGGGATTTGGGGTCTGGGATTTGGGGATTTGGGGTTTGGGGTCTGGGGTTTGGGATTTGGGATTGGGGATTTGGGGTCTGGGGTTGGGGATTTGGGATCGGGGATTGGGAATTTGGGGTCTGAGATTGGGGATTTGGGGTTTGGGATTTGGGGTCTGGGATTGGGAATTTGGGTTTAAGGGTTTGGGATTTGGGTTTCAGGGTTGGGGATTTGGGGTCAGGGATTGGAGATTTAGGGTCTGGGATTGGGGATTTGGGATTGGGGGTCTGGGATTTGGGGTGTGGGATTTGGAGTCTGGGATTGGGGATTGGGGGTCTAGGATTTGAGGATTTGGGATTGGGCATTTGGGGCATTGGGGTCAGGGATTGGGTATTTGGGGATTGGGAGTCTGGGACTGGGGTCTGGGATTGGAGATTTGGGGACCAGAGATTGGGGATTTGGGGTATGGGATTTGGGGATTTGGGGTCTGGGTTCAGGGTTCAGGGACTGGGGGTTTGGGGATTGGGGATTTGGGGTCTGGCATTGGAGGTCTGGGATTTGGGATCAGGGATTGAGGGTCTGGGATTTGGGATGGGGATTTGAGGGCTGGGATTTGGGGGTCTGGGACTGGGGGTCTGGGGTTTGGGATTTGGGATCAGGAATTCAGGATTGGGGGTCTGGGATTTGGGATCTGGGGTCTGGGATTTGGTGTCTGGGATCGGGGATTGGGGATCTGGGATTCTGTATTTGTGATTTAGGATTTTCAATAAGGGATCAGGGGTCTGGGACCAGCCAGGATCAGGGATCTGGGATCAGGGATTGGGGTCTGGGATTGGGGATCTGGGATCTGGGATTGGGGATCAGGGATTTGGGATTCAGGATTTTCAATCAGGGATTTGGGATCTGGGCTCTGGGATTCAGGATCTGGGATGTGGGATTCAGGATTTGGGATGTGAGATTTGGGATTCAGGATTTGGGATCCGAGATTCCCAAGGCATCAGGGCTGGGGTCACTGCGGTTCCCTGCACAACCCAAGCACTTTGAAACACTCCACAATAAGCAACTGAAGGATTTTCTGTCATTTCAGTTGATTCCTGTCCTTGAAGGGCCTCCCCTGTTCCCCATCAGAACACCAGGAATGTCTCATTCCTTTCCCAAAACACAAACCATGCCATTTTCACTATTTCCCCTTGGTTTTTCAAAGCTTTTTCACTGTGTTTGGACAATTAGTTTAACAAGTCACTTCCAGGATCTGTTCAAAACAAACACCTTCTGTGCACCAGATTATTTTTAAATCCATTGCAGTTGTAGTTTAATTGTTCCAATGATTTGTTTCTCGTTTGAGGTAATATAAATAATATAACTAATCCTAAAATCAACTGTAAGCATGAACTTGATTGATCTTAGGCCTAAAATTAAATGTTTAGACTCTGGGCATGATGATGCTCCAGCAGAAACATTTCTGCAGCGTTTGATGTAAAATTTATAGTGACTAAATATAAGTTAATTAGCAATTAGCATGTTTGGAATATGGCACAGTAGGAAGCAGCCTTTGGTTTCAGAATCAATGAGGCTCCAGATTTACATCTGATATTGGGAATTAGGAATTGTTCCCTGGCAGGGTGGGCAGGCCCTGGCACAGCTGGGACCCAGCCTGGATCCCTGGCAGTGCCCAAGGCCAGGCTGGACACTGGGACTTAAAAAGTGCAAATTCCTCTCATCAAAAATGTTCTCAGAATCCCAGACTGGTTTGGGCTGGGAGGGAGCTTCAGTCCCACCCAGGGACACCCCTGCCATGGCAGGGACACCTCCCACAGCCCCAGGTGCTCCCAGCCCAGTGTCCAGCCTGGCCTGGGCACTGCCAGGGACCCAGGGGCACTGGAGGTGTCCCTGCCATGGCAGGGCTGGCACTGGGGGGATTTTTTAGGTCCCTTCCCATCCCAACCATTCCCTGATTCCATGGCTACGGCAGCACAGGAATATTCCTGGCAGGCACAATTGGAGCAGTGTTGCTGTGAGGTGAGGGATGAGATTTTGACTCCAAGTTCTCAGAAGGCTGAGTTAATATATCAATCATATCATATCATATCATATCAATCATATATCATATCAATCATATCATATATCATATATCATATCATATATAATATCATATCACATCATATGATATTTCATTAATTATAAAAATTATCAAGATACTAAAATATTAAAAATATTCAAGTATTACATTAAATATTAAATAAGTATTGAAGTATTAAATAAGAAATAAATATTAAATGAAATATAAAATTATTAAGATATAAAAATATGATATGATATTATATTATATTATATTCATTACTTATAAAATTATTACATTATTAAAATATTAAAAACGTTAAAGTTTTTAAATTAAATTAAATACTAAATAAGAAATAACTAAATAGTAAATTAAATATTAAAATATCAATATATTAAAAATTATTAAATTATTTATTAAAAATATTATATTATATTATATTATATTATATTATATTATATTATATTATATTATATTATATTATATTATATTATATTATAGAAATGTTGAAATATTAAAAATAGTAAAATATTAAAGTATTAAATGAAATATAAAATAAATACTGAAATATTAGATGTAATATTAAATAAATAATAAATGCATATTAAATGAAGTACTAAAATATTAAAATATTAAAATATAAAACATTAAATTTTTATTAAAATTATTATATTATATGAAATTATATGAAATTATATGAAATTATATGAAATTATATACTAAAACCATACTAAAGAAAGGATATATCAGAAGGCTGGACAAGAATGACAATAAAAACCCAGACTCAGCGAGTCTGACACAGCTGGCTGTGATTGGCCATTAACTAAAAACAATTCCCATGTTTGGATAAACGATCTCCAGGCCACATTCCAGAAAAGCCAAACATGGGGAGGCTGAGGCTCCATCTTCTCAGGAGAAAACCCTGGCCAAGGGATTTTTCAGCCAATACCAGAGGTGGTGACAGAGAAGTTGTGGGGCTGCAGGAGGGCTGCAGTGGGAAATGCTCCTTGCTCTGCCCTGCAGTGCTCCCTGTGCTCTCCCTGCAGAAGAAGGTGATGCTGAACATGTTCCTGGACACGCTGATGGCTGACCCTCCTCCCCAGTGCCTTGTGTGGCTGCCCCTCATGCACAGACTGGCCCATGTTGAAAATGGTAAATGCAAAATCTCCCTGCTGGGAGCGGGGCACTGCTCTGTCCTGGCTCATGGGACCGGCAGTGCCTCCAGCAGAGCTGGTCCAGAGCATCCCAGAGCTGCCTGGGCCACATTCCTGGGGCTGTGGGATGGGGACTGGCCGGGTGTGAGAGCAGCACCAGTGCAAACCCCGTGGATTTTAGTTAGTGGGGAAAAAATGACATTGTCTGAATGTTCCTGGGGCTGAGGGAGCTGGGAGAGGAGCAAAGGAGGCTCAGGGGGCCCTTGTGGCTCTGCACAAGTCCCTGCCAGGAGGGCACAGCCAGGGGGGGTCGGGCTCTGCTCCCAGGGAACAGGGACAGGACAAGGGGAAATGGCCTCAGGCTGGGCCAGGGCAGGCTCAGGGTGGACACCAGGAGGAATTTCTGCATGGAAAGGGGGCTCAGGCCTTGGCAGGGGCTGCCCAGGGGGGTTTGGGGTCTCATCCCTGCAGGTGTCACCTGGATGTGGCACTCAGGGCACAAGGTGGGCATCGGGCACAGCTGGGACTCAATGGGCTGGGAGGGATTTTCCAGCCTCAGGGATCCTGGGGTTTTTAATTAATTCTGATGGTGGCAATTTCCTGGGTCAAGTCCTCACCAGGAGGTGGATCTGGTTACAATGTAGGGTGAACTCCAGGGCAAAGGGGATCCTGGTTTGATCCTGGCATTCCCTGGCAGCAGCCAGGAGCAGGAGGGGACCAGCAGGGCTGCATCCCCTTCACTGGGGTCTTTCCCATCCAAATCCCATTTTTGGCCATTGCAGAAAAATGAAAACAAACAGAAATAATACCACAAGAAAAAAAGCCCACAAACAAAATCCTAAACAAACAAAACCCAAGAAAACAACAACAACAACAGAAAATAAAAACCACAAACAAAAAAAAAAAAAAAACAACCCACCAACAAAACAACCAAAAAACTCAAAGCAAGAAAAGACAAAAAAAACCCTGAGTTATTGTTACTCCTTCCCCTCATCAGGAAATCAGGGTTTGGGTTTTTTTAATTCCATTCGTCAGGATATCAGGGTTTGGGTTATTGTTACTCCTTCCCCTCATCAGGAAATCAGGGTTTGGGGTTTTTTTATTCCATTCATGAGGATATCAGGGTTTGGGTTATTGTTACTCCTTCCCCTCATCAGGAAATCAGGGTTTTGTATTTTGGGTTATTGGTATTTTTCCCCCTCATCAGGAAATCAGGGTTTGGGTTATTTTTATTCCTCTCATCAGGAAATCAGGGTTTGGGTTATTATTCCTCCCCCTCATCAGGAAATCAGGGTTTTGTATTTTGGGTTATTGGTATTTTTCCCCCTCATCAGGAAATCAGGGTTTGGGTTATTTTTATTCCTCTCATTAGGAAATCAGGATTTGGGTTATTATTCCTCCCCCTCATCAGGAAATCAGGATTTTGTATTTTGGAATATTGGTATTTTTTCCCCTCATCAGGAAATCAGAGTTTGGGTATTTTTATTCCTCTCATCAGGAAATCAGGGTTTTGGGTTATTGGTATTCCTTTCTCTCATCAGGATTTCAGGGTTTGGGTTATTATTCCTTCCCCTCATCAGGAAATCAGGGTTTTGTATTTTGGGTTATTGGTATTTTTTCCTCTCATCAGGAAATCAGGGTTTGGGTTATTGTTCCTCCACCTCATCAGGAAATCAGGGTTTGGGTTACTTTTATTCCTCTCATCAGGAAATCAGGGTTTGGGTTATTATTCCTTTCCCTCATGAGGATTTCAGGGTTTGGGTTATTGTTCCTTCCCCTGATCAGGACATCAAGGTTTGGGTTCTGTGCTGCTTCTGTACCTTTTTATCAGCATCCATCTGTGCTGCCTCCATGGAGCAGGGAGGGGAAGGGACAGCTCTGGCAAGGGGGGGGAGGGCTTCTCATGGAGCCAGGCTGGGAGAGCTGGGAATGTCCAGCCTGGAGAAGGAGCCAGGGAGAGCTCAGAGCCCCTAAAGGGGCTCCAGGAGAGCTGCAGAGGGACTGGGGACAAGGCCTGGAGGGACAGGAGCCAGGGAATGGCTCCCAGTGCCACAGGGCAGGGCTGGATGGGATCTTGGGAATGGGGAATTGTGCCCTGGCAGGGTGGGCAGGCCCTGGCACAGGGTGCCCAGCCTGGATCCCTGGCAGTGCCCAAGGCCAGGCTGGACACTGGCACACCCTGGCACTGTGGACAGACCCCAGCCTGTGCTCAGGACTTGCCTGGGGAGCTCTGCCCAGGGAGGGAGGTGTCTGAGGAAGGAATTTAGTGAGAACCTGTGAGCTGGAGCTGCTGTGTCGCCATCAGCTTCCTCTGAGGGTTGATGGAGCCAAAACTCCCAGCTCTGCCCTCAAAACCCTGCCCAAAACAGAGAGTTCTGAAGGAACTGGGGGGGTCTGGATCTCCAGGGAGATGGGATGTTCCAGGTTTACCAAAAATTCACTGAAAAGTTTTGTTTTGTTTGTTCTCCCCCCAGTCTTCCACCCCGTGGAGTGCTCGTACTGCCACTGTGAGAGCATGATGGGCTTCAGGTACCGCTGCCAGCAGTGCCACAACTACCAGCTGTGCCAGAACTGCTTCTGGAGGGGCCACGCCAGCGGCCCCCACAGCAACCAGCACCAGATGAAGGAGCACTCCTCATGGGTAGGGGCTTCCTCCTGGCAGGGAACCTGCTCCTGGGGGCCAGGGCATTGCTCCTGCGTTAGGGCTTCCTCCTGGCACCATGGCAGGGACACCTCCCATGTCCCAGCTGCTCCCAGCCCAGCCTTGGGCACTGCCAGGGATCCAGGCTGGGCACCCTGGGCCAGGGCCTGCCCACCCTGCCAGGGCACAATTCCCAATTCCCAAGATCCCACCCAGCCCTGCCCTGTGGCACTGGGAGCCATTCCCTGGCTCCTGTCCCTCCAGGCCTTGTCCCCAGTCCCTCTGCAGCTCTCCTGGAGCCCTTTCAGGCCCTGGCAGTGGCTCCAGGCTCTGCCCAGAGCTCAGTTTTTCCCTTTCACCCCCCAGATCTGCACCCCCCAGGATTTGTGTGCTGAGAATCAGAAGCCCAGGCCGGAGCCATGGCAGGCAGCAGCACCTTGGGATGCCAGGATCCCAACTGGGTTGGGTGGGAAGGGAGCTCAGAGCCCCCCCAGTGCCAGCCCTGCCATGGCAGGGACAGCTCCCAGTGTGCCAGGGTGTGCCAGTGTCCAGCCTGGCCTTGGGCACTGCCAGGGATCCAGGCTGGGCACCCTGTGCCAGGGCACAATTCCCAATTCCCAATTTCCCATCCAGCCCTGCCCTGTGGCACTGGGAGCCATTCCCTGGCTCCTGTCCCTGCAGGTCCTGATGAGTTCCTCAAGTGAACAAATTCAGAGAGAAATAAATGTGGGCATTTTCAGCAGGTGAGGAATTGGTTTAGGAAAATGAGAGGTTTGAGTTTGGAGTAATCACATCTCTGCATAATTTAAATTCTCTCTGGGGTCAGCCAGTGATATAAAATCAAATTGTGATTTGCAAAGGATTTCAAAGGCATTAAAGCAGAGGGGCTGGAATGAGATGAGCTTTAGGGTCCCTTCCACACAAACCATTTCAGGATTTGATGATATTGGGATGACCAAGTGCCCATTCCCTGGGATCCAGAGGCTCTCCAGGGCCCTCACACCATTCTGCTGCTCCCCAGGATGGAGCTGTGGGCTGAGAAATAAAAATTCCAGGACCTGGAAGGAATGAGGGCCTCCAGGGCAGGCTGGACATCAGCAGGAATTGACTTCATGGTAGTAACTGGTGTTAATTATCAATTATCAGTAATTGCCAGGCACTGATGGTGTTTGCTGTAACTCCTATTTGAACCACTGGTAATCTGAATTTTCACTTGAATGTCCCTTGGGAGCTTGGTCCCACTCTGGAGTGTTGTACAGCAGCAGTAACTAATAATTGTAACGAATTAATTATTACAATTAATAATTAATGATTGTAATTAATTCCAGAGCTGTAATGAGCCAGGGCTTGCCCTTTCCTGGGGTTGCCAGTGAGGGAGAGCAGCAGGAGGAGCTGCCAGCTGATGTCTGAGCTCCCATAACCAAGGAATTATGGAGTTATTAGGGTTGGAAAAGGCCATCACCAGGGCTCCATGCCACTGCTGGGAGCTGGGTGAATGCAGCAGCGCCTTTAGAATTAATTTTGTGAGCCAATATGGGATTTAAACCCCTTTTTTGGTCATTCCTGTGGGTGTGGCAACTCTTGTCACCAGCCTTGCCAAGGACCACCAGTCCTGTGAGGCCATTTAGTGTGAGAATCAAAAAATAAAAAAAAAAACTTCTACAGACTGTAAACAGTTTAATCTGTAGCCTTAGAAGACACTTAGATTAATGTAAAATGTAAATGTAAAAATACAATGTAAAAATACAATACACAGACATTTAGCAAAAAAATCATACATGTGTGTTTCTATGGTTGTAAGTAAGAATATGCCTTAAATAAGTGAGAAACTGTGTTGGGTAAAATAGTGAAGGGTTTATAATGTGTAGGGGTGTGGTTGTGTAGAATAAACTGAGAGTTCAGAAGTTACAATAAAAGCCTGAGAGCTAAAAGCCCATTAGATAAAAGTATCCATGGTGCAGCACAAGTCAGTGAAAGTGATAGGTTAAAAAGGCAAAATAAATCCTGTGGCAGCTCTCTGTTGATTACAAATTGCCTTTAATGAAGAAACTGTAGCCAAATGCTTGCTCCTCTAAAATCTCACAGCCTCTGAGATTAATATTTATATTTATTAAGGAAATAAATTTGGTCTTAGCTTGAAAACAGTCCCATCCCTCCATTTCTAGCAGCAACAATAATCATTTAGCACCACTTGTGAAAGGAGCCCAAGTCACTCCTGCCTGTGCCAGCGCTGCCCCACCTTGGCTGTGCCTGTAGAGGACAGGAATTTGGCAAGTGGCTGCTCCTGCCCTCAAAACGCCCCCTCCATGTTCAGAGAGTGATGTGAAAATCCCTTCATGGGATGGGCTGGGATTAATTCCTGAGAGAGCCCCCAGGTAATTGGTTTGCCTCCTAATCTTCCATCATTTTGTTAAAACTTTCCATTTCCACCGTCAGAGGCCTCCAGAGCCTCCCAGGACTCGTTCCCCAGGGCCCTGATTTCCCAGGGGTGCTGGGCATTCCTGTTCCTGTGCCCTCTGCTGCCTGTCCCAGGGGTGAGTGCCTGCCCTGCCCTTCCTCCCAGGGCTCCCCTGTGCTGCTTCCCCCGGAACCCCCAGATCCTGAAATCTGAGTCTCCTCAACCCAGGCCTCAAAAGCTCCTGGAGATCTGTTTCACACCCAAGATAGCTCAGCTAGGCATAAAATATATTATATTATATATATATATATATAATATACCTCAGAAGGCATAAAATCAGCAGGATGGCATCTGTGGCAGTGTTGGAAACAAAAAGGTTTTAATAAAAGGCAAAATAACAAACAGAAAAACTGAGCCAGGTGTAAGAGGTTTTTGCTCCTGGTAAAACACCTCACAAAAGCCATCAATTTCTTTGTTCTCTTCTTTTTCTAGTGAATTGCTCGGGCAGTTTGGCTTCTGTCCCATTGGCCATCCTTAAGTTTGAGGTGAAGTCCCTCAGGTCCTATGAGGTGTCTTTTTACTTATTGAGGAGAGAAACTTCTGTGTTTATTTCCTTTTTAAGGGCACAAAGGACAGTTTGGTCACTCCATCAACAGGGGGAACATTCCTATACTCACCTGTGCTTCTTCCCCCAAAATTCTGGGCTCACCTGTGCTGGTTCCAGCTCAGGTGAAATGTGGGTCTCCTCCAGCCAGGCCTCCTAGGCTCTTGGAGATTTATTTCATAAACTCTTGGAGATTTATTTCACACCCAAGACAGCTCAGCTACCTTAGAAGGCATAAAATCAGCAGGATGGCTTCTGTGGTAGTGTTGGAAATAAAAAGGTTTCAATAAAAAGCAAAATAACAAAACTCTTTACAGAGAAAAACTGAGCCAGGTGCAAGAGGTCCTGGTAAAACACCTCACAAAAGGGATTGGTTTCCTTGTTCTCTTCTTTTTCTAGTGAATTGCTCAGGTGGGACTTTTTGGTTCCTGTCCAATTGGCTGTCCTTAAGTTTGAGGTGAAGCCCCCCCAGGTCCTATGAGGTGTCTTTTCACCTAATTGAGGAGAGAAACTTGTGGGCTTATTTCCTTTTTAAGGGGACAAAGGACAGTTTTGTCACTCTGTCCACGGGGGTAACATTCCTGTACTCACCTGTGCTTGTTCCCCTGGGCTCACCTGTGCTTGTCCCCCCAGAAATCCCCATCTCACCTGTGCAGCAATCCCTGGCTCACCTGTGTGATCCCAGGGCTCACCTGTGCTTGTTCCCCTGGAAACCCCTGGGTTTACCTGTGTAATCCTGTGTTGTTTACCTGTGTTGTTTCCCCAGAAATCCCTGGGTTTACCTGTGTTGTTTCCCCAGAAATCCCTGGGTTTACCTGTGTTGTTTCCCCAGAAATCCCTCCCCTCACTTGTGCTTGTTCCCCCAGCAATCCCAGGCTCACCTGAGCAGCAATCCCAGGCTCACCTGTGCTTTTTCCTGCAGGAACCCCCAGACTCACCTGTGCTTGTTCCCCCAGAAACCTCCAGGCTCACCTGTGCAATCCCAGGCTCACCTGTGTTGCTCCCCCAGCCATCCCCATCTCACCTGTGCAATCCCATTTCCCCTGTTTTTTCCCCAGCAATCCCCTCTCCCCTGTGCAATCCCATCTCCCCTGTGCTGTCCCCTCTCCCGTTTTTCCCCTCTCACCTGTACAATCCCCTCTCACCTGTGCAATCCCATTTCCCCCGTTTTTTCCCCAGCAATCCCCTCTCCCCTGTGCTCTCCCCTCTCATCTGTGCAATCCCATTTCCCCTGTTTTTTCCCCAGCAATCCCCTCTCACCTGTACAATCCCCTCTCACCCGTGCACCCCCATTTCCCCGTGTTTCCCCAGAAATCCCCAGCCAAGAAGCTCACCCACGCCATCAGCCGCTCTCTGGGCTGCGTGCCCAGCCGGGACCCGCCCCGCCCGCTCTTCCCCGAGCAGCCCGAGAGGCCCCTGGACCTGGCCCACATCGTGTGAGTACCTGAGAGCCCCCCTAAAACCCCCCCTGAACCCCCCTGAACCCCCCTGAGACCCCTCTGAGCCCCCTCTGAGCCCCTGGACCTGGCCCACATCGTGTGAGTACCTGAGAGCCCCCCTAAAACCCCCCCTGAACCCCCCTGAACCCCCCTGAGACCCCTCTGAGCCCCCTCTGAGCCCCTGGACCTGGCCCACATCGTGTGAGTACCTGAGAGCCCCCTGAGCCCCCCTGAGCCCCCTCTGAGCCCCCCCTGAACCCCCTCTGAGCCCCCCTGAGCCCCTGGACCTGGCCCACATCGTGTGAGTACCTGAGAGCCCCCCTGAGCCCCCTCTGAGCCCCCCTGAGACCCCCCTGAGACCCCCTGAGCCCCCAGACCTGGCCCACATCGTGTGAGTACCTGAGAGCCCCCCTGAGCCCCCCTGAGCCCCCCTGAACCCCCTCTGAGCCCCCTCTGAGCCCATGGACCTGGCCCACATCGTCTGAGTACCCCTGAGCCCCCTCCTGACCCCCCCAGACCTCACCCCCATGGTGTGAGTACCCTGAGCCCCCTCCTCACCCCTGAGCCCCCTCCTGACCCCCCAAACCTGCCCCCCATTTTGTGAGTCCCCCTGAGCCCCCTCCCCAGCCCTGGGCTCGGGGCAGCGAGCAGCCCTGGGCCTGCAGAGAATATCAGGATTTTCATTCCTGTGTTGGTGTCAATGTTTCAGGTTTTTCTCTGTTGTGTTGGTGTCAATGTTTCAGGTTTTTCTCTGCTGTGTTGGTGTCAATGTTTCAGATTTTTCATTGTTGTGTTGGTGTCAATGTTTCAGGTTTTTCTCTGCTGTGTTGGTGTCAATGTTTCAGGTTTTTCTCTGCTGTGTGGTGTCAATGTTTCAGGTTTTTCTCTGCTGTGTTGGTGTCAATGTTTCAGGTTTTTCATTGCTGTGTGGTGTCAATGTTTCAGGTTTTTCTCTGCTGTGTTGGTGTAAATATTTCAGGTTTTTCATTCCTGTGTTGGTGTCAATGTTTCAGGTTTTTCTCTGCTGTGTTGGAGTCCATGTTTCAGGTTTTTCTCAGCTGTGATGGTGTGAATGTTTCAGGTTTTTCTCTGCTGTGTTGGTGTAAACGTTTCAGGTTTTTTTTCTCAGCTCTGTTGGTGTGAATGTTTCTCAGGAGAACCTTCTGGGGCTGTGCTTGTGAGGGGTTTGGTGCAGCTGCAGCCAGGCCTGGCTGTGTCCTGCCTGTCACCTCCCTGTCCCCACCAGTGGCACCTCTCACTCCTCCTGTGTTGGGTCAGGCTCTGATTTCTCATTTACTGTAAATGAAATTATCCAAACAGCACCATGGGCCAGCCCAGGGGCCTTGCCCTCACGCCCATGTCCCCTCTCCATGGTGTTGTTGTCACCCTGCTGTTGGAGGGGTGGGCTGGATGGAAAACCCCTGCACTGCTGCTGGTTTGAGCAGCTTGAGGCCACCCTGCTTCCCCACTCTGTCACACTTCACCTGCACGGTAAAAACTGAGAGACAAAGACCCAACCAAGCTGCAGTCAGTCTGCAGATCAATCCCATGTCCTACAGAGCCTGGGGGAAACTGTTCCCATCTGTAGGAGAGGGTGAGGAGGAGCAGCACTGGGATGCAATTCCCAACCCATCCCTGCCTTTCCTTCCCAACCCATTCCTGCCTTTCCTTCCCAACCCATTCCTGCCTTTCCTTCCCAACCCATCACTGCCTTTCCTTCCCAACCCATTCCTGCCTTTCCTTCCCAACCTGGAATTGCCTTTCCCTCCTGATCCATCACTGCCTTTCCTTCCCAACCCATCACTGCCTTTCCTTCCCAACCCATCACTGCCTTTCCTTCCCAACCCATTCCTGCCTTTCCTTCCCAACCCATCACTGCCTTTCCTTCCCAACCCATTCCTGCCTTTCCTTCCCAATCCATCACTGCCTTTCCTTCCCAATCCATCACTGCCTTTCCTTCCCAACCCATTCCTGCCTTTCCTTCCTGATCCATCACTGCCTTTCCTTCCCAACCCATTCCTGCCTTTCCTTCCCAACCTGGAATTGCCTTTCCTTCCTGATCCATTCCTGTCTTTCCTTCCCAACCCATCACTGCCTTTCCTTCCCGATCCATTCCTGTCTTTCCTTCCCAACCCATCACTGCCTTTCCTTCCCAACCCATTCCTGCCTTTCCTTCCCAACCCATTCCTGCCTTTCCTTCCCAACCTGGAATTGCCTTTCCTTCCTGATCCATTCCTGTCTTTCCTTCCCAACCCATCACTGCCTTTCCTTCCCAACCCATCACTGCCTTTCCCTCCTGATCCATCCCTGCCTTTCCTTCCCAGCCTGGCATTTCCTTTCCTTTCCCATCACTGCCTCTCCATTCCCACCTGGCACTGCCTTGGCCAGGAGCCCACCATAGCCCTAAATCTGGATTTAGGGGAGGGCCCAGCTCAGCCTCACCACAAACACCTTTTGTTTCCAGTCCCATCAGATTGGAATCCACTCGTGTTTTTCCCTGTGGGCTGGGCACCTGCTGCAGGGACAGTGGGGACAGGGCTGGGACTGGGACATGGGGACATGGGGACATGTCACAGCTCCTGCAGGGACATGGGGACAGGGCTGGGCACCTGCAGGGACAGTGGGGACAGGACGGGGACATGGGGACATGGGGACATGTCACCCCTCCTGCAGGGACAGTGGGGACAGGGCTGCACAGCTCCTGCAGGGACAGGGACACGGGGACAGGGCTGGGACAGGGCTGCACAGCTCCTGCAGGGACTGGGACAGTGAGGACATGTCACCCCTCCTGCAGGGACAGTGGGGACAGGGCTGGACAGGTCCTGCAGGGACAGGGACATGGGGACAGGGCTGGGCACCTGGAGGGACAGGGATGGTGGGAACATGTGACACCTCCTGCAGGGACAGGGGACAGGGACATTTCCTGCAGGGACATGGAGACAGGGACAGTGGGGAGAGGGCTGGACAGCTCCTGCAGGGACAGGGACATGGGGACAGGGCTGGACAGCTCCTGCAGGGACATGGGGACAGGGACATGGGGACAGGGACATGGGGACCTGCAGGGACTGGGACATGGGGACAGGGCTGGACAGCTCCTGCAGGGACAGGGACAGTGGGGTCAGGACTGGACACCTCCTGCAGGGACAGGGACATGGGGACAGGGACATGGAGACAGGGCTGGGCACCTGCAGGGACTGGGACATGGGGACAGGGCTGGACAGGGACAGTGGGGACATGTCACACCTCCTGCAGGGGCAGGGACAGTGGGGACAGGGCCACCCCTGGCAGCAGCTCAGAGGCATCTGCTGTGTGCTGCCAGCTTTAATTAAATGTAAACCCAATGCCCTAAAAAGCAAAGGATGGGGACATGGGGCCTGCTGGCCCAAGGACAGCTCTGGGACAGAGGAGCCCTGGGAGCAGGGGATTGATATCCCAGGGACATCCCAGGGACAAAAAGGGACCCACTGGGGTCTGTGTGAGGGACACGAGGCCTCTGGGCTGCTGTGGCACCACTGAAAGAACAAAAATAGCAAAACAACAAAAATAACAATGAAGCCCCCTGGTTTGAGGGGCTCTAGGCAGGGGGGGTTCTCTGCTGGAACCCAGCTCCATGCAGGAATTGCTGCAGGCCCCAGGGAGCCACTTCTGGGGTGCCCAGGGGTGGATTGTGTTTGATTGGGGTGAGGGAATCATCAGCACCCACAAATAAACAGGGGGAGAGGCTGCAGAAAAGCTGAGCTCTGCTGCAGCTGAGTAAACAGAGAATGAAATATTAATAACTAGGGGAGTTTAACAATACTTGGCCAAAGGTTCCAGGGAAAACAAGGCTTGGGAGGGGAGAAAAACCCAGCTGAGCTCTTTGAGGGAGGGAGGAAACACAAAAGTGGGCAGAAGGAATGTAAACAATGAGTTAGGAGTTGCTGTGAGTGGTTTGGTGCAGGGGCAATGAGCTGTGAGGGAGGAGCTGGGCAGGGAATGGAGCCCCAGGAGGGGCTGAGGGAGCTGGGCAGGGAATGGAGCCCCAGGAGGGGCTGAGGGAGCTGGGCAGGGAATGGAGCCCCAGGAGGGGCTGAGGGAGCTGGGCAGGGAATGGAGCCCCAGCAGGGGCTGAGGGAGCTGGGCAGGGGCTCAGCCTGGAGCAAAGGAGGCTCAGGGGGCCCTTGTGGCTCTGCACAAGTCCCTGCCAGGAGGGCACAGCCAGGGGGGGTCGGGCTCTGCTCCCAGGGAACAGGGACAGGACAAGGGGAAATGGCCTCAGGCTGGGCCAGGGCAGGCTCAGGGTGGGCACCAGGAGGAATTTCTGCATGGAAAGGGGGCTCAGGCCTTGGCAGGGGCTGCCCAGGGAGGTTTGGGGTGCCCATCCCTGCAGGTGTCACCTGGATGTGGCACTGAGTGCCCTGGGCTGGGGACAAGGTGGAGATCAGAATTCCCAAAGAATTCCCAGGCTGGAAGAGACCTCCAAGACCATTGAGTCCAACCCATCCCCAACAGCTCAACTCAACCCTGGCCCCCAGTGCCACATCCAGGCTTTGTTAAACACACCCAGGCATGGGGACTCCACCACCTCCCTGGTCCTTGGGAATTTCCAAAATTCCCAAATTCCCAGAATTCCCAGAACCACTGGGTTGGAAGAGACCTTCAAGACCATCAGGGCCAAGCTGTGTCGAGACTCTGGATAGAGTCACAAGTCTTCATTATTATCTTTTTAGCATTTACTAAGTATCCTTTCTGTATTCTTCAGTTTAGTACAGTATTCTTTGTTATAATATAGCATCATAAAGTAATAAATCAGCCTGCTGAGAGCATGGAGTCACATTCATCATTCCTGCCTTTGCTGGGACATTTCCCAGCAAACCCAATAGGAAACTGCACCACTGAACCTTTAAGACCAGGTCAGGAGTGGTTTTAAATCCCCTCAGAACTGCAGTCAGGCTGTGTGATGGAAGCTCTGTTATCTCAGTGTTTCTCACTGCTTTAGCAGATAGGAAAAATGCAGA